TGACTCGGCGTTGAGGGCACGACGAAAGTGGCGGTGTAAGCACATGTCTATCCAGCCTATGGACTGTGACGCCAAACTTTGCGCCGACCACTATATCTACTGCGGGGTATTATTTGGTGAGACGGGCGTACCTGTGAGAATGTTCTGGAAAGCAAGCTCGACGTTGCTGGCGTCCAAGGCGGACGTCTCGATGAAGGAGAGGTTGTTGTCGCCTGAAAAGTGTCAGCTTACGTCGTCTCTGAGAGACTGTCTGGACAACTGCCAGTGTCATAGAATGGTGCACGTACTTGCAAACTGCTTGGCCTCCTCTGTTGGCACTGCCCGCAGATGCCTCAAATCGCTCTTGTTACCGACGAGCATGATGACGATGTTGGAGTCGGCATGGTCGCGCAGCTCCTTCAGCCACCTCGTCACGTTCTCGTATGTCTGGTGCTTGCTGATGTCGTAGACAAGCAGAGCGCCGACAGCGCCACGGTAGTATGCGGAGGTGATGGCGCGGTACCGCTCCTGGCCTGCGGTATCCCAGATCTGGGCCTTGATGGTCTTTGCGTCGACTTGGATGGAGCGGGTAGCGAATTCGACACCGATGGTCGACTTGGAGTCGAGGTTGAACTCGTTGCGCGTGAATCGACTCAACAGGTTGGATTTACCGACACCTGAGTCTCCGATGAGCACCACTGCGGGGGTTAGCGGGCGACGAGACCAGGACGAGTAAGGCGGGGGGAGAGGCGGTACCCTTGAAGAGGAACTACAGGCACGACGGTCAGTATGCAGAGTCCACAGCTGCTGGCGTACGGGGACTCACGTCATATTCGTCGTTCGCCATTGTTGCGGTAGGCAGGTGGGGAAGAGTGGCAGGCGGGCGGCGGGTGCACGTCTCAGTCGCTAATTCGGCGAGGTTTTCGGATGCAGGGCCTGGATAGCGTCGGGGTATCAGGGCAAGCAGAGAGGCAGAGTACGGTCGTCGTGGCGGGTGAAGTGTCCAGGTGCGCTATCTCGCTGCCTCGAGGAGTCGCTGCTCCACCAACAAAGCACCAGCCAGCACTCAGGGCGAACGAGCCCATGCCGCATTAGGTAAGCGAGACGCTACTCTCCGCGCCCTCACCCTCACGCCCGTGGTTGCTTGCACCACCGCAAACAAGTCGCCTTTCGCCAAATAGCGGCAATCACTCAGTCTCTTCTTATCGCGTGTTGAGCGAGCACAGCGATCGGGTGCGTATCGGAAAATTCGACCTGCGCGTTGTATCAGCATTATCCCGCTGCTCTCAACCAATCAGGACCTTGCATCCTCATTCATCTCTACGGCTTTCGCCAGAATGTCATCACGCCCTGTCGAAGACGATGAGCAAGTGGCGGGTACTTTTGACGTGGAATGTATCATAGCAGAAAAGTGGCAAAATGAATGGGACGTCGCGCCCTTCGGGAAGGGAATAAAGTACTTGACCAAGTGGGAGGGCTATCCACTTTCCGAGTAAGTCTATGCTGAATGATCGTTGAGCCAAGCTAACCCGCTATGAAGCAGTAAGCATTCAATCTTGTCTTTCGCAGTTCTTTGGTTTTGCCTGGAAAACGACCCCGACCTATACTCTCCAAGCGTTTCACAAGGTTGAACATTCATCGCATCTTCCTAACGTTATGTAGGTACTTGGGAACCAGCATCAAATTTTGAAAATGTTAATGATGATGATGTTCCAACGGACCCCGAACCTGCCCCAGGACCCCCAGCTCCCACCGCTCTGGAACTATGGAACCTGAAGAAATCGAAAATGAGCGGGATTGAATTCCGGAAGCTATGCGACCAAAACATAAGCAGATTCGAGGCAGCAGTTCGAGCAGCGGCAGGTGAAGGTGTGCCGCCCCTCGAAGTTACACTGGCAGAAAGAGAAGCTGTAGACTCCAGTCAACTCAACAACTTGTTCATCGAAAGTCCCAGAAGACAACCTCCAAGAGCGCGCAAGCCTCCTGTAGTGCAGTCAGACTCATCTTTGTCTTCTTCTGAGGAAGCAGAGTTGACGGATGACTCATTGTTTGATGAGATCACGATGACCTCAAAGAAGACAAAGCACAAGTCAACTAGTGCAGATGGCGCTGGTACTGAGCGCCGGCCACGTCGAAAGTCAGCTCAGTCAGCCAGTGAAGCACTGAAACGTGCTACAACCACTCCAAAGCGGAAGTCAGCTACTAAGCCGAGCCCAGCTAAGCCTTCGCCATCGGAATCAATTCCACATTCTCGAACCGGACATGTCGACCCGGTCCCCACGCAACGGAGGGCGAGTACCACCAGTGAGCTTGCAAGCGCCGCTACAGGTTCTGCCAATATAACCCCGGCCCGCGCAAATCCCGGTACTGCGAAGAGATCAGTCTCATTCACTACGCAGGTCAGTCCTAGTAATGTCACATCCGATACAGGAAAGAACGGCGCCATCAAGTTCACGAACCAACCGAAACCTCCGCCTCGTCAGATCTCTGAATTGAACAAGACCCATTTCCGCAACCTTAAAGGACGAGGGGCGGCGAATAAGAAGTCTGCCAGGGAGGGTACACCTGATCCTTCGGCTCTACAGATTGTCAACGCCCCACCCGGTACCACTATCTCGCTCCCGCGCGCACCACGCGATGATCTATACGGTCGTCGTGAGCCTAGCCATAGGCGACCCACAGAAGACTCCAACAGCGACGTTCGCCCAAGCCGACAGTCTACTGACGGTAACCTACCGTTGGAAGACTGGGAATCCCACAAAGTCCCATTAGTATGCTATTCTTGGAGGCTTAGCAACGATTGCCCGAGAGGTCCGAAAGAATGTCGCTTCATGCATAGAAATAAGGATGAAAACGGCCGTGACTATCCCTTGGGGGATATGCAAGGGTTCATACCTGGTAAATATCGCAGGCCACCACTCACCTGTCCCTATTGGCTGAACCATGAACGGGGCTGCAAGAATTCTGCCGAACAGTGTAATTACGCTCACTACAACACTGGGTGGATGAAGCACACTGATCCTAAAGTTCCCGATGTGCGAATTGATCCTGAGAAGCGGCCGGAGTTCAATGGTGGAGAAAGTCAGTCTGGTGACAAGTTCACCAAGAAAGCGTTGGCACCGAACCAACTTACGTGCTGGTACTGGAAAAACACTCAATGTCGTAAGTCCGACCAGGATTGTGCCTTCCAACATTATGATACTGGTATCGTCGCGGATGGGCCACATGGTTCTCGTCAGAAGCCTGTTCGACCGTCGGATGGGTCTGATGAATCTGATGCGTCTGTCCATATGGACATCGATGATGTTGCTCAGCCGGACGTTGCCGATGAAGTAACACGCTCCCCTTCTCCCATGCCACTCGAACAACCGCAACAACCGTTCCAGCCGCCACCTCCTCCACCTCCACCCATGGAATTCCCTCCTGTCGATATCAGATGCACAGAGCTGCAAGAGAGAATAAGCGCAGTCAGTAAGCTCGACTTCGAAGACATGTTTGCGACCAACGATGGTGAAACAACCATCGATCCGGTAGAAAGGAGGGCTTTCTTGTTCTTTCACCCTGAGGATCACTTTGTGGAGTTTGAAATCATCACTCGATGGCTCTTGATGCATCATGTCCAAGTCAGCAGTGCGAGCTATGCAGGCGGATGGGCAGATTTTCAGCAACAAATCCTGAAAGGAGGCACGGGTATCATCATCGTACGTATCACACACTCCGTGGAACAAACGAATACTAAGCAGACTAGGCACATCCCGACTTTGAGTACTTCACAAGTATCCCCGGATTCGGCCAAGTCCTCCGTAGAGGAGTGCGTCTCTGGTCGGTCGGGCTTCAACCAGGTATCGAATACGACTACGCTTCAGACGAGACACCTGTGCTCCGGAATGATCGCATTGAGATATTTCCTGTTGGTGGATTCATCTACATCACGGACGAAGTCTTCGAAGCGATGCCAAAATATGCGCTGTGTATCATCAAGCTCTTCTTGGCGAAAATCAAGAAGCTCAAGGAACTCGCAGGTCCATCAGCTCATTGGCCAGAGATCGTCGAGAACAGCTTGCTCTGGCGTCTTTGTGTCCGCCCGGAATTGATGGAGCATCTGTTTGCCTACTGTGAAGACCAAGCAACAGAGCTCCAGGCTGGGGATCCTGATGTACAAAGGTTCGTTCACTACACTCGAAATAAAAGGATATATCACTAACTTCAACATAGTGCCGCGGAGCTCTACTCTCTCCTCATAAACCCCAACTTCATCGAGCAAGACAGTCCCGATGCCCCCCTCAGCCTAAAAGCCGACAAACACCCCATCCTCTCTGAGCGCCGTGCGATCGCAGAATGCGAACCCGTCGACTACTTCAACACGCTCAAACTTAGCCAGCAAGCCGCCAATCTGAACATGATACGCTACTACGCTGGACTGCAAGTCGATATGCGCCGCGACTACCGCCACTTCTACGTCGTACATACCGAGCCGACGGCGTCGTATGTGAAGGAGTGGAAGCAGGAGATCCAGACTATTGCTGAAGTCATCACACCTGAGCAGTGTGTCAAGGAGTTCAAGAAGAGTGGGCAGGATAGCATGTTTAATTTCTTTGAGGACGTAATGGCAGGGGATGTGGGCGAGAAGGGAGCGGACAAGGACGGTGACGCGACGCGCACGGGCTAGGAACCTACGCGCGATGCTAAACATGTTCCGGTAACGATTGAAGAGTGGTGGAAGAGGGCTCAACATATTCTTTCACGGAAGTCGTGTTGGGCTGTATGAAGTCTGGCGTGTCTTAAGAGACTAGGTCAAGTCACCTCCCCATATCAGACACGACCTCACAATAGCATTTCCGCTTGTTTGCCCGATAACCTAATACCCTGTGATAGTAGTAAAGCATTTCACATGTTCAATAAAAGCGTTCTATCAACTCAAAGATATTTTGAGTCACTACCCAGCCATCAGAAGACACAATCCATGGAGAAAACAAGCTGGGTATCATTCAACTGCTTGCAAACCTATCGTATATATACATCTACTTCTTCTTCCCCTTCGTCTTATCCACAATGTCGACCCAATTCCTTTGCACGCCCCTCTTCTCCAACGCCTTCATAATAGCATCCTTCTGTGGCCCCTGCACCATGACCTCCATAACCGGTGCTTTGGGACTAGACCCCTGCAGCTTATCCACACTCGTGCTACCCGCACACGTCTTTCTCAGCTCATCAGCAAGCGGCTGCGGCGAAATATAATACGGCTCCAGTCCATGCACTTTCGTCACAGTCTTGTTGCCGCTGCGCGTCTCGAGCGTGATTTGTATTTTGGGCGGCGCACCGGCTTTGGGCTTCGCGTCAGAGATGTCGGCGTCGTTGCGGATAATGGCGTGGAAAGGGGAAGAGGCGGCGACCATGCGCTCGGCTAGGGCATCGCGCGGCATGGCGCCCGAGGAGAGGGCGGCGTTGTCGGCGGCCGAGGAACCTAGGAGGGCATCCGCGAGCTGCGGGTTTATGCGGATGAGGCGCTTGTTCTTGGAATCGATTAGGTTCTCGGCTTCTATGTAGGCAATGAGGAGTTGTTTTAGCTCTGATGGGGTGTAGAGGCCGCGGGGGTCGGCTTTGGAGGCGCTGAGGATGGGTGCGAGTTTCTCTTTGGGTCGGAGTACGGAGACGAGCTTGAGCTTTTGGCCCACGGACGACTCGGCGGAGAGAGGCGCGGCTGGCTTCCCGTTGACGCTCGCTGCGGTTGGCGCATCTTTCTTCGGTAGCCGGTAGGGAACGAACGATTCGATCTGGCGGTCCTTGAAGTCGATGTCAAGAACTACGACCTCGTTGCCATCGCGGTCTTTGCACTTGAGAATCTGTTGCTTGTCCAGATACCGGACGAACTTTCTCAGGTTCTTCCAACTTGTCTTTTTGATTTGTAGTGAGGCGGTTCGCGCGGGGGTGTAGGTGGGAAGGAAGGGTAGGACGAGCGTAGACATGACATTGGTTTGCGAGATCGGGAAGTCGAGGCCGTAGGAGGGGTGGCCCTTGTTGTGGTCCATGTGGTAGCGGACACCGTACAAGAAGGCATTCTTGAAAGCTTCGTCAATTTCTAAGTTTGTTAGCTAGTGGTCAGCGTAGTTGAGGATAGGAAGCATACCCTTGGTTGTAAGCTCTTTATCTTCAAGGACATCGATGAAGTCGTTATTGGATGGCGCATCTTCGCCTTGTACGCCCTGTGCTTTCTCCGCCTCTGACCGTTGGGTCGGGGTGGCATCGAGAGTGATACCGCCTTCGTCGTCGTCTAGATCGACGGCTGCCGTGCGATCAGCGAGACTCGCCTCTTCGGCATTGTCGTCATCCCAGCCCTGGAGGATATCAGGAGGCTCAGTGCCTGCCTTGCCTGTCGAGCTCCAAGACCATAGTTCGTCGCCTGCCCAGTGGAACGTCGACACAGCCATACCCTTGGTGCCCTGGACTTTGCCCAACGCGCTTACATCGATGACGCACTCGCCAACCGCCATGGGTACTGTCGGTGCCTCGAGGCTTGCAATGGCAACGATTGCGCCTTTTGTCGCTTTCTTGGGGAAAGGCGGACCTCGTTGTAGGCCAGGCGTCATCAGGTCGGCGCCACCCTGCATCTTCTCGACCACGACGAGCGGCGTGTATAGCAATGGGACTATCCGTGGGTTGTGCCAGAGAGTATAGACGGTTGGGTACATCTTGTCACCAACCTTCGCCCACAATACTCTCTGCTCCCCGCTGGTGCCCTCATGGCTGCCTACGTATATCGTCCCCGACACCTGCTTGAGGTCTGGCCCCGCGGTGGTGGTGAAGCGCGCGGACAGGGCATTCTCTGGGAGCAGCGACTTGCGCAGTGCTGTGAGGCCGGCGGTTGACGAAGCTGCCTTATCGTCCGGGTTCGCGTCGGCATCTACGGGGATCTCTATGCCAAAGTCGGCGATGATCTGGTCGGCAGTCCTGCGGCGGTCGCTGGACTTGAGGGGGGAGAGGGGCTTGATCTAAGGGGCGTTAGTCAGTGCAGCGTATGTGCGAGATTGCAACCTACAGTCGGTTTCTTTTTGAACATGTTGGACGCGTATGCTTCTGCGGTAGTTGTTGGATGTCGTGGGCGAGTCTGAAGCTCTGCGCGCTGGCTGCAAACAATGTTTGACGCGGCGATTCTCTATGACTTCAGCGGGGCAGCTAGCGCGTTTCCCCAGCCTTGCCATGTGCCTCGAACGGGAGCATCACTATGAGTCGAACATCCTCATGCTGACTACGCAGTGCTACCTTTGCGACAGACTTCGCCATATGTGCCGCTTTGTTTCTTCAAGTCCTCGCCCTGGTCCATGAAATGAAAGTCTGTGTTGATGATGCAGCCAATGTCCACGGATGGCCCACAGACCCGGTCGTCACTTTAGACTTCTGTCGCCAGCTAGGCAGTTGTAGCCGCCAATATAGCATTTGGGACCCGAAGCTACTTTTTCCATGGTTGGGCTTCTGATGACACCTGCGAAGTTAACCACATCGGCTGGCAGGTGCTGGCCTCACCTGCCGATCCTGAAATCTAGAGGCTGGCTAGCCGGCAGTCGACCTTCTGCTGTACTTGGTAAGCCGGAAGGCGTCAGTGACGATAGCTGCAATGCCTCATTGTTTATAGACCATTGTCTCCTTTACGCCTGGTACTGCGTCAGCTGGATCGTCAGGACGCGTCTTCGCACCATAACAAGCTGTTCACAGCCTCCGGATAATCTCAGCTCACGTCGAGGACTCGATAGCCTTCCGTCGCAAGCTGAAGCGCAATGTTTTCCCTCTTGCGGTGGTGTACTGTCACGTTACAGAGCCGTCCTTTGCCTCATCTGAAACATTGTCCCATCTGAAACACACTCTCAGAGATACTGCCACACCGTCATCTACCATCTAGTCGCGCTGCCACCAAAGGTAGACAGCCTCGCACACGAAACACACACCAAAACTGCAAGGAGATGAACAAGGTAGATAGACTTCGATCCCAGATTCCAGGACGCTGGCCCGGCCTGTTGGGTCCCATGTCGCTCACCCGCCGCAGCATCCATGCAGCTGGCAGCCCTCGACATCGACGGTAGCCGCTTCCGGTCAAGGCGTGCTGAACTTCAAATTTTAGCCGTCCAGGCACCAGAACGCATGCGGCCGTTGCACGGTACACAGTTCCGTGCTGACATTGACCGCATCGGCAACAGCTGGTTCTCGCGCAAAAAGTGCGCATCCAATCCATGCCTCAGTATTCCATTGCGGCAGTCATGGTGCAAACACTGCAGACGTTCGTGGCGGCGGCGCGTCAGCGAAAGACTTGCCGGCCCGGCCAATGGCTCTAGGCCTCGGTGCAAAGTCGACAACGGCTGGCTTATTCACAGCTTCACCAAACACCTCTTGGCCCGCGTGGTCCCAATTGCCGACTGGGCGCCACCGCCATGATTCAATCACACTATGCCTCCCTTAGGCAAAGCACCATTACGCATGGACTCGGCCCCCGGAGCCTCCAGGATGACCATCGTCCGTAAATGTCATGGCGAGATGCGGAGAACTGACGCGCCACGAGAAACGCCCAGCTGCGCCCGTTCGTTCTTGTACTCATTCCCCGTCTTTCCTCATAAACCCGTCGTTGTCGCTCCCACTCACGCCTGCCATGGTAAAAGTGTTAAGATCGAATTTGAAGGTTTTCGCGTTGTGACATCACAGCACGCTTCCTCGGCATCTGCCCCGGCTTTCGGAACCGACCTTCGAAAATTCTGCGAACACCATGAGTCCCATTCCTAGCATCGAGCGCAAATGGAGAGAGGGTGAGGTCGTACCCAAGCCCAGCAACCCGGAGGAACTCATCCTGGAAGCATGGGCGCAAGGTTATCTCGTGGGTTCGCTCATCATTATGGCGTTCATCACGTTGGCAAACATGAGGCGCGGCGTCCTGTTGCACAAGGTTAGCAGAAACCCTCTTTAAGCAGTGACCACCGCTGACATCCACCTAGTTGATTCTACTCGAAGTGAGTCCACATTTACGCATCTGCTTACATCCATACTGATCAAATCCAGCTCATCCTTGGTATCTGGCAAGGATTCTGGTTGTTTTTCCCCAGCCCAGTTCACGCGTGGTGGCTCTCCGTTGCCGCCATCTTCTTGAACGCCTCTTGGTCTCTGCACAATGTCATTGCCTGGATGAAGATCAAGCCCTTCCTCTCGAAACCTGTCAGCTACATCTTTATCGGTACTGTCGTGCTTGTTCAACCCTACTGGGTTGTGGAGATTTACGCCAACTTCGCCTACTTTCATGGCGTCAACGAGATATTCCTGAAAACACGACCATATGAGGCGCTATGCCGCGATCCCTGGTGGATTCTCACCACCATCTACCTTTTCTGGGTCATCAAGACGCAATATGAACTGAGCCTCAAGGAAATCATACGCATCTCGCCGCGTTTTGGTATCATGCTACTATCGATGCTGCTCAGCATAATCTTCATCGTCTTGGACATTTCTACAGTCACCAAGGCTATCAAACTTCCAGGAGCCACAGGCATCAACCCCTTTTGGAAGTTTGCATTTGTCTTCAAGTGCCTGACGGATTCCGTCGTTCTCGACGATTTCAAGGTGGCGCTCGACCGCCTGCGAGCTTTCCGCATCAGCCGACTAGGCAGCTTCTCGGGCGACCCAAGCGACAGCCGGAGTCGTAACGACAACAACCTCGTCGCCACCTGGGAAGAGATGGAAAGGGAAGCAAACGCGCTACAGAACGTGCGCAGCCCAGACGGCGACTACATACATCCCAGCAACTTCCCACTGAAGCCAAAACGTGCGCGAAGGCCTCAGAAAGACTCCGTCATGTTCCCCAACCAGCCGGATTACCGAGACTCAAACGCTGGGCTGGATCCAGAAGATATCGTGCCCAGCATGTTGGGCGATGGCCCTACAGGAGCAGATGCACAACCCGTGCAGAAGAAACAACATCAGTTTATCGACGACATGGTCAACAGTAACAGCAGAGACATGGCTGCGGAGAAGGACTATGCCGAGGCGATGAGAGATATGCAGCGAGATAGTGTCTCAACACCCCGACGAACGAGCGAGTCTCCCCGTCGACCACCGCCGCCAGGCTGAGTGCACAATCGATTTTCGAACACTCAACACGATTCACAACGAATGATACGTCAGTAATCACGAACGGGCAGGCGTTACTACGGTCGGCACATCTACGGACACATATACCCCCACCCATGCGATGCACGAGCACGCCTCATGCCCCACGCACGATCTATCCTTGCACACCTCAGGGTGGTTGTGCGCAGCGGACAGGCATGGCCCCACGGGTTTGGGGTTTGGGGTAGTGATAGAAAGGAGCCTGGGGCTCGCTATTGCGGATTGAGTTAATGGCTAGCGGCATACTGGAACAAAAGGCGTTTTTGTACATGCTGACAGGCATCGGGCCGAGTCGGCCCTCATTTATATACCCATTTGCGATTTTTACTTTGTTATGGATATGGATATGCTGTTGCATATGTAGGATGAATATACTTAAATTCACATAAGTATTGACCTTGGATGTCTTCAGAAGTCTGTGATCGCGTATTGACAGACTCCCTCTTGTGCGCGTTGTATGTTCGGATTTCGGGCTGTAAGTGGAGGCGCAATAGCACATGTATGTGACCGAAGAAGGTGCTGCGACATATTCAAGAAGTTGTATTCCGTTCTCATTGTTCTATACTGTGGTCCCTGTTGGTGCACACCCTCCCGGTGTCTTACTCGGCTCTACCACTGCCGCTGACCCTTCTTCCGATTAGAGACTATTCTTCCACACGAGCCTACAAGGAGTAAAAGTTCCTGGAAAATCTGTTTCGTAGCTTGCGGACACGTAACCAATCTCGTTAGTAGTCACGTTTTTCGCGGCGAAGTAGGGGATCCAATGCATATCTTTGGCGAATTGCGGTACTTCTGAGCCGATCTTCGCTCCACAGCAATGTTCCAGAGCTGTCTTGGTATATTGGCCAGTGAGTTTACAAAATTTGACTTTTGAATGGTGTTTGCCCCATTCCAACTTGATCTTGATCGCGAAGCTGTCCTGCTTTTTCTTGGAGAATATCATGTAGAATATGTTGCTTTGTGGCCCAAATCTGACGAGATTAGAATTTGCGAGATTCCAGTATTCCAAAACCGGTGGCCATGAGCTCGTGAGAGAATACCCAGTCTCGGAAATGGCTGTGATGTCAACTTCGTAATCAGGAGAATTCGTCCGCGGCCTGGATTGAACGGAAGATAGGAGCTTTTCTAAGATGGTGTTGGTGGCAATGCCCCAAGTATTCTCGCGATAGTTAGAATTACGCGCGATATATATCTGCTTGCTCCTAACAGTCCAAGCTGTGCGCCAGGATAGGTTTGTCGTTCGGATGGGAACGGGAGGGCAACTGCCGACTCTCGTAAATGTGTTTCCATCCCAGTGTTGCTGTAAAACAATGGCGATTCCTGTACGACGGTAACTCTGTTCGACTACGATGCCTAACCAGACCTTGCTTCGTTCATCGATGGGAATCATATGAAGCTCAATGTGCAAGCCACGTCCAGTGACGGTAGTGTGTGTCTTCGATGTTCGCTGGTATGCCAGATCCACCTTCGGGTATCTAAGAAATGCTGTTGGTGATGTTGCAAGATATGATGTATGGCGCGTACAAAAACAGTCGTATCCCCAGGCAAGAAGACTCGTATCATCGGAACTGCTCAATACAGCCTCTTGGAGCCGGATGAAAGCTTTGGTACCCTCTCCGTACAGTAACGGCATGTTGATGTCCAGCAGGCCGAGCAGGCAATAAGCCTCGTCCTCTACACGAGTAGTACTTCGTCTCGCCATCCATGAAACTTTGCGCGCTGCTGAAGCTGATCCAATGCGGGAGCGGTACTCAAAAAACTCTTTGTCGATAGACGTGGTATCGCATAATAGTGGAATCAGCTTTGTGGCATGCTCATAACCGTGACCACCGGGGTCTGTTGAAAAGATCATCATCCAATTGCTATCGTAAAATTGAACCAGTCGTGGAGCAAGTAGCTCCTGCAAGGTCCATCCTCTGGTGAACCATCGACTCTGACGGAAGGCAGAACCCTGCTCAAAGATATCTGACCCAGATGGCACATCCTGCAGATAGGCATAGCACACCTTGGAGTTCTTGTACCAGCGGAACATGGAATTAATGGCCTCCGAAAGCTCTGCGCTGCTCGTCTTATCGATGCAGCATGTGTCGATCCACACCCAGAGTAGGTCATCCTCGATCGCCTGCTGGCAGCATCCTTCGATCTTAGCGTAGCCTTGCTTCTGCTGGTGTCCTTCTCTTGACAGATCTTGTAGTGTGACCTCTTCCTTTCCCCAAGTGTGCGATAGGATTGCGTATAGAGGAATTGCATCGCCGAAGAACTCCTCTAGCTGCCGTGTGTTGACATTGAGCAGGCGCATGGCTTATATGTCGCCTACATCGACAAGGCTGAGATCGGATTTGACGTAACCTGTCTGTTTCGTGATCAAGGTCGATCGGTGAACAGACGGAGGAAAGCCGCCCAACAGCGACTAGATTTTCGGGGACCAACGAGTGTATGAAACGAAGATACGGTCGTAGAGATAGTTGAGAAGTGAAGGCTAGGAGACTTCAGGGCTGAGTTGTCAGCCTGGAGGAAAGCGCGCTTACTATTGCATCGAGGCTGACTTCGGGAGCCGCAGCCACATACGTCGCGCATCTTCACTGCCCACGACCAAAATACAAGACCCTCATGCTGATGGCTATCGGCGAGATGGATCTAGTATTCTGGGAAATTCTCTGAACGTGCGTCTATGAAACTCGGTGTCGTAAAGCTTGGTAGCGGTTCCGGCTCGGTGAAATGCGCTGTACATGCTAGACACCTGCTGCCGAGAAGGCAGAGTTTAACTCGCTGAGCTATACCGGCGATATGGTGAGTATCCTCAAGTAGGTCAAAGTTGCGAATCGAGGATGCGGATCTGCGCAGCTATCCACATGTTCCTGAGTGCGGAACATTCCGTGCCTCGGCTCGCGATTAGGAAGGGCACCTGAACCTTCGCGAAGGGGCAGGGCGGCGTATGCTGACGCTGATTGTATAATAACGTGCCCATCCCTTGCTGTCGCTCATCAGATCGATAGCCATATTCTGGTATGGTCACAATGGCGCAGACGGCTAGCATCGTTGTTGCGGGCGCGTCAATGGCAGCACTCGTGTCGCAACCTACTATGAGAGGCAACCTGATGGCTACGCTGGCCAGATGGACAGGCTACAACGCGCCTGGAGGTCTGTGGAGGATAGCTGCGATTCTTCTCGCATTGGCGAACCTCAAGAATCTGCCATTCGTCTGGCATGTACGTATTTGGCGGAGTGGCAGGACACGCGACTTCGAGCTGACGATATTCATAGCTGCGCTTCATCCGCGCCTTGTTCTATCAACTGTACTTCCAACCGACCCCGATCCCTCCACATGCGCTCTTCCAACCGATCATTACCTCGACGCGTACCACGTTCCTCGAGACAGATTACAACATGCACAAGTCCAACAGCACATACTTCAGCGACATGGACATATCCCGCACACATCTCTTCACCGCTCTCATTCGCAACGGCATAAGAAAGAATAGTCGTCTAGGCGGTGCCAAGAAGAGCGCTGTAGCAGGAGCAGTAGGTGCGACCGAAGGCACACGGGGCAAGCATTACATTGCGCTCGGAGGCATAAGCTGTCTGTTCAAGAAGGAGATCCTCCCATACAAGAAGTACGAGATGTGGACAAGACTTCTGTGCTGGGACAAGAAGTGGTTCTATCTCGTCACACATATGGTCAAGCCTGGAGTGGCGCAACCAGAGAGCTGGACACTGCAGCCCTGGAAGAAGTCCAAGCCAGCCAAGGACGTTGACATAGAGAAGCTCAAGGGTGCGATATACGCTACTGCGATTGCAAAGTATGTTGTCAAGCGAGGCAGGATCACGGTGCCACCGGAACATGTGCTGGTCGATGCCGACATGGTACCTGCAAAGCCAGAAGGCTGGGTCTACCAAGAGGCTACAACCGAAGAACAAGGGCCGAATGGCGATGTCCTGCCCAAGGCTGTAGAGGCGAAGGATTGGAACTGGGACGTTATCGAGGCAGAGCGACTGAGGGGCTTGAAGGTAGCCGAGCACTTTGCGGCTATGGATGGCATGCATGACTTCTTCGATGGTGGCAAGGAGGGAGTTTTGGGAGAGTTCGCGGATTTGCTGTACTGATTTGGGTTCGATTTGACTGGGCCTAGGAGAGCTTGATACCCTAGATTTGGATCTTAGAACCGCGAGGCTACTGCATCGCTGGTCTTGTCTTGAATACAAACATTTAAAAATATCCTCTCGTGGGGTAGTTATCTCACCCGCATTCACGAGGCACCTGGGCAGTGTCGCGGATAGCGGGCACTAGCGTCGCGCTAAGCCACTGGGACCTGCAGTGCCAGCCAACCTCGAGCGCTGCCTTTGACAATCACCGGTCACCATATGCAGTGGGAGCCGTATTCCGCTATGGCTCAGCCTTGTGGCTTCCAGCTTTTGATCTCTCCATGCAACTAACCAAACCCACTGACCAGCAGAGCACAGGTCATCACACATATTCCACCCGACATATTGCTTCGACCTGGTACAAGCAGGCGCGATCGGGCTCACCCTGGCACCTACAGCACTCACATCCAGCCCATCATTGACGTTCGGATTCACGGTATCCTCATTCAACCGGTGCTCCAGCAGTCATGGCCGCGACATCAGGCGTTGCCGCACATGGAGCCGGCCCTGATATGATCTATATCGGAGAGCTCTACGAAAGCATATCACGTAGTCCCCCAGGTATAGAAGCCAGGAAGCTACTTATCGAACATTACATCGCAGTCGGTAATGAATGGCTGGAAGGTGCATTAGATGAGGCCAAGAAGCTCCAAGCTTTAGCTCCCACGGACCTAGACGTTGTTAGGTTCTTAAAGATTCTCGAAAAAGTACCAGAGCCTCCAGCGCCCGCGAAGAAAGCAGTCAATCGGATACAGGCATCTTCCGCCCAATCCGGAGGCGAACCCTTGAAGAACTATCCATTCACGACGAAACCAATATCGAAACGTGGATCCAAGCGGTCGGACTTCATCTTAGGCGATTCAGTAGATGACCTAAACGATGAACAACGAAACCTGGTTACTGGGTATCGTGACATACGTGCCAAGGCAACACATGTGTTTGCGAATCTGCTGCGTCTACAGACCCTCCAGAAGAAGGCCGGGTTGCCCCAATCGAAGAACCTCGCTAAGGTCCACCTCATGGCGGATGGGAGTAACGGGGCCGTCTACAGTGGAATGCGCCCACCAGCAAGTGCTCGTTCTGTGGCGCGAAACATCAAAGATAAACCAAAAGAGGCTACGAACCTAGTCATCGCAGATCTGGAAGCCATGATTCAATGGGTGCGCGCGCCATATGGCACACCCTCGGGCGCAAGTGTCGATACCATTCGTGATACTCTAGTCAAACGCCGGAGCGCCATCGATTCAACGCTCCCGGATGCGCTCAAATTTCATTGCGAGCTTGGTTTTATGCACGTCGAACATGAGCATCTGGAAAGGAACTACGTCAATGACGAAACCATGCTCGGAGATGAGATCAAGGACATCGCCAGAGAGGACTTCTATGTGACCGAGGACAACTATGCGTGGTCGATGGATGGTATGTGACTTCCATGTACGGACTACGATGAGACCCATACTAACTTTGTGCCAACCTTAGAACTTGTTCAGGCTATCCAGGCAAATGGCGGTGTACTCCGCAATCCTCTTAGCAGAGAAATGTTTACTCCGAAAGATGTCAAGGGGATTCTCCTCCATCCAATAGGCAAGTCTCTCGCAGCTCTGCGAGTTGAGCAGCACGAGATGTCCAAGGGCGTGCGGACGGAAACAATCATACAAATGGAGAAGCTCTCAGCGATCTTGCTAGCAGATCAGAGTAGCGATACACTTCCTAGCCGCAGAGCAGTAGACGAGTTTCTTCTATACGTCGCAACGCGTAGGTCTTCCTTCGGCACAACGACGACCAACAGGCTAATATATGAGCAGTACCAGATCTTGAGCAAAAGGCAATCGAAGGTCTCAAGTGTCCTGCCACAGACTCTCACACCGGACAGTCTTATGACTGGTCTATCGGCGAAGCAGTGAAGGATGCGAAAGGAAACCTTGTGTGTTTTCACAAGACAGGCGACTTCATTCGGCAAGCCGCTGCGCATCTGCGGAAGAACCGTGGTGTAGCTGCCGACACCGACGAAGGTAATTGTTCGATCATGTGATATCTTGTAGCAGCTTCATGGTCTCAAATCGGGACTCTCCATGCGTTTCGCATTAGCAGTCCATTGCGTTCTAGAGGTAACAAGATCCATGAAATGTCGTCAGTGGTTGCAACAATGTCTGCCACCCTCAGGCACATTTGCGGCTGAATCAGGCTGATTCCGGACGCTGCAGTCACGAATCCTTAGATCACACAATCCTACAAGGCATTTTCATACGCCGATTGCTCGATCAACTTTGCCAGATAGCTTTCGTTGATTATTCCGTACATTAGATTGCCATTTTCCTCGCTTCGCTTACCGCTGTCTCGTACCATGGTTAGCCTACACAGTCGCAGTCGCACTAGCCGCTTCGGGGGCCGGTGAATGTGCTTTCCGTATAAGCCACCCTGTTCAGCCTTGTGCGCAGCCCCAAAGTGTCAGTCTCCGCAGAAAAAGGCCACCCATCACATGTGAGCTATAGCAGACTAGCCATGTATCTTTGCCGTAACATCCACTATGCGCCTCCAAGATTTGATGTTCCTCTTCCCTCATCAGCCGACGGTCTATTGGCCGCACCTCTTTGAACACTACCAACCCTATGCTACCTAGGTACTCTGGGTCCCACTATCCTCGTGCGCTTCCAAGGAAAGCGCGATTCTGGTACAAATCCCCATTGTACCAAACTCAACCCCTGCAATTTGCTCGAAAGTTCTCGTGCTTCATTGCCGGTAACCGATACCCACGATTCTCTTGACACCGACCGTTCGTAACTCGACTCGAACTAGCCGTTCCATCTATATCCATTTTATCATCTCACCCCTGGCGCAGGGCCATTCCTCATAAACGTAGGACAAGCATGGCCACCGCCGTCATGCCTCCTACTGCAGTCGAACAGGATACCGGCAAACGCTCCCATATGTCATGGGCCAAAAAAGCCATACCGTTGAAGAGCACGGCAATCTTCAAGAAGACCGATCACAGTCAAGAATGGCATGCGGAGGTGGAGGCCACTGCTGGGGTACTACACCCCTCGCACCATCGATTCCCATGGGGCTTCATCCGCAATCACACCGATACCTATCTCAAGAAGAAAGGCAAGATCAGCCAAGAAGAGGCGGATAGGAGGCTTTCGATGTTGGTTCAGA